GTATCTTTATTTTTCAGAGAATTGGATGATCAGTCCGCAGAAGGCCGTCTAAGATCAATGCAGCTCTTTTTCTTTCGTTGCAATCTTCTCCGCAGAGGGGGTGTTATTGTGTTATGTGGAAAACAAACTGCAACTGAGTATGAGCAGCTGCATCCAATTCCTAAAACAACATGGAAAAGACTACAGTGGAAGCCGAATACGCAGCCAAAAAGAGGCACCTACAGTTTGCCAAAGTCTCATCGAAGTGAACTGCTTGTGACTGTAGGAAATAGTGTAAGGCAAGGCCTGATTCAAATTTTAAAAACTGACCTTGGTGAGGCTCACAATGATGCAGAATCATCAGATGATGATTAGTGTCATCTCGTCATTTTTTGTGAAATTATTTTTTGTCTCTGAGAAATGTCACTGTCACTACAAAGGATTTGTCAAAGTTGAAAAAAAACAGTGTCATATTTGTTGTTAAATATTTCATTTTATTCTGTTGTAGAGTTTCATGATGGTGATGATGGCAATTAAATAAGAAAGCAGATTTTTTTTTAATATTTACATTTACACACCTTTATGTTTAGAAATTGCTAGCACAATGATAAACCTATGGAAATACAGCCTCTTTATCGCCCCTGGCGAGAGAGTCGACAGGTATGAGCTCCACTTGAGCTGGACTAATGTTAATGCACGACTGAATAGTGTTGCCAGCTCGGACAGCGCACGTTGGTATCATAGCCATGGTCCCCTGCCTACAGGTATGCGCCACCTGGCGTGAACTTGGCAAGTATACGCCATCCTGGAGTGTACTTCGCAATACTTCGCAAGGACACACCAACCTGGATGAAGTGTACATGCATGTTGGCTCCAGGTGGAGTGTACCAGGTGGGTCACTGACCCCGTGAGAAATGGTTACAATGCAGCCCGCATGCCTCATGGAGTCCTGCATCCGTGCTTGCCTATGCGGCAGTGGGCGGGCGCACAGCAGGGCTAGGGTGACCACCCGCCAAGTTCCGTCACGTTTAACGCATTCAACCCGTGCCATCGTACCGCAGAGCCTCCGCGGCCGTCGCGAGTCCCCCGCGGACACCACGCCGACCATCGCGGGATTGCGCAGCACGCGGACGTTCCGGACTTCGCGAGTCCTCCCGCGGCCGTCGCGAGGGCAGCTCGCGGCCTTCCCGGCTTCCACCACGGACTTCGCAGACTTCACGGACTTCAGGGGCGCTCTAGCGGACGCAGTGCAACGCACCGTGACGCCACGCCGATCACCGCGACGCACCGCGAAATTCGCGACGCGCAACGCGACGACGCGCAACGCGACGACGCGCAACGCGACGACGCGCAACGCGACGACGCGCAACGCGACGACGCGCAACGCGACGACGCGCAACGCGACGACGCGCAACGCGACGACGCGCAACGCGACGACGCGCAACGCGACGACGCGCAACGCGACGACGCGCAACGCGACGACGCGCAACGCGACGACGCGCAACGCGACGACGCGCAACGCGACGACGCGCAACGCGACGACGCGCTTTGCGACGCAGCGGCGTGGCGCGACGCAACGCGGTGCAGCACGGCGTCGCGGTGCCCAGTCGCTGTGCTCGTCACGGCGTCGCGGTGCGTTGCGCTGCGTCCGCTAGAGCACACCCGAAGTCTGCGAAGTCCGCAGTTGAAGCCTGGAAGTCCGCGAGCTGCCCTCGCGAGGTCCGCAACGTCCGCGTGCTGCCCTCGCGAAGCCCGCGGTTGTCGTCACGCGTTGGATGCAACCCAACGCGCGTGCGAAGGGTTGCCTGCGTTCACGGCGCTCCGCTCGCCCCAGACGCTGGCACGGGGACGTCGCTGCTGGACGCCGTGCTCACCCCCGAGGACAACGAGGCCGTGCTGCAGCCGTTCACGATGGAGGACATCGATGCCGAGTCCGCGCGGCAAGTCTTCAGCGGCGAGCGCGGCAAACGAGGTCCTCGATTCCCCTGGGTAGGGTCAGGGCGGGGAAGAACTGGACAGGGGAAGAACTGGACACCCCATATTTTACTTCAAATACCGTAGGCGTAGGAATAGCAACTATCAAAAGTTGTTCCGTGGCATCAGCGGTTCATTACACGACAGTTGTGAGGCCAGTGCATACGGCATTTGAAGTAAAATGTGGGGTGTCCAGTTCTTCCCCTGTACAGTTTTCCCCCGCCCCGACCCCAGGTGGATGGTGTGATGGCGTGATGGCCTGCTGCAGTGTTGCTTGCAGCAAGTAGGCTCTTAGCAACAGTCAACAGATCGGCAGAGACTGAAGTAAAAGATGGATCAGGACTCGTTTGAGGGCGTCTTGAACTTTCGTCTTAACAAGATGGCATCGCTGCTGAGAACGTTAGTATCAAATTCGATTGGTAACGACTTCGGACATCCGGCTAAAAGCAAATCGGTAATCCGTCATCCGGATAACTAGAAAATTGGAGGTGATCCGTGGTATTCCGGGGAAAGGTGGAGGAAGTCCAGGGTAATCCGTCGAAATCCTAGGGTAATACTGGAATTTTTTAAAGTATAATCCGTAGGTTCTTCTCTGCTGATCCGGGTCATCCGTAATCCGGGTGACAGCGTTATCCCATCAAACTTCCCTTGCAATGGCAACGTAGGCTAGTGATACTCGCTACTACACTTATCGTATTCTTCAGTCCAGGATTAGACATGGAAAAGATGAATTCCGCGGCAGCATTGGTTCGGTCGCAGGTCAAATCCTGCCCTGACTTGTTTGCGAAAGCACCGCAGCACCTTAGAAGGAGATATGAAAACATTATGGTACATTCACAATAAATCAAGCGTGCGATACAAATTCCTTTTCTGGTCATAAATAGTTTTTTTTTAAATTCTAGATCACAGTTGACTTTCGGAACCAACAGGCCAAGGACGAAGGTTGGTGGGTTAATGTGAAACAGCCACCATCTTCAAGGAGAAATAGCGAATTCAGTGGAACAGGTATTTATCAATGAATTTCTTCCAGGAAATCCTTGTACCAATTCGAAAGCTTTCTCACTGAACCTGCTTTAGGGCGTGGCAAGCGTCGCACCTGCAGGGAGAAGAAAATTCGTTAATCATAGAAGCATGAATGTAAAAGAAGAATAAAAAGTAATTAAAAGTTGTGGAATGTAAAGAGGAAGACACGAATTGGACTCCCGCTTCTGGGGTTGGGCAGGAGGCGGCGAGTAAGGCAGCAGAGGGGGCGGTAAGGACTTTTGTCCTCTCTCTCTCTCTTAGGAACACGCCAGCCCAAACCTAACCACACCAACACTAACAATCCAGGCCAGTCCAGACTAGTCCAGACTCAGGCAGCCTGTCGCAGACACGTCTTTGGACTGAAGTTCTCCACTCGCCATGAACTTAGATCATCATAATGATCCTGGTACGTTTCCCTGATGTTTTGTGATTTATTTGGAGTGAATGGAGGGTTCCGAGCACCCAAATCAAAATGCTGCATTTTAACCTCTCATTTCATAACTTTGCAGAAAAAGGACTGTTTTTACCTTAATGATTGATAAGAAATCTTTTATGGCTGCGGCTGTGATGAAACTGCTGCATTGTGTTGACGATGGAGACTTACGTAGTGGGTACTTTCTGCTTCCAGCACCCCCAAACCCACCGGCACCTGTTCCCGCTGCGGCTCGGAAGAAGCGTGAAGAATTACCCTTTTACTTGTGTTGTAAATGTGACCTCTCCGAGAGCAATATTTTGTTATCGTGTGGGCACATGCCCTATTGTGAATCTTGCATGCAAAATGTCATGAAGTGCCCCGTTTGCCAAGTGCAAATTAATGGAACAAAACGTATGATATCAGTCAACCATGCAAGAAATTATGTGAATTGAAAGTTTTTAACATAAGTTGTTGTCTCATCTTTATTTTACTTTTTTGGCAATGGCGCATGTGCCACCTTTATAGTTATCTTCCTGTGTGTTCATCTGTATTTGAGTGAAACTCCATAATGACAGTGTTTAACTCGACTATAAAAAATGTAACTATTTCCTTACATTCATCACTTGTTATTGCATTTGCTCTTAATAAAGTATGAAAACATGAAACAGGTACATGTATCTTTAACCAAATTCATCTCTCTTCTTCATTCCTTATTAGGTGGGATACCATAATGACCAGACAATAAGATGTTCTTATTTTTAAAAACAATGACCGTCTTATAACATTAAGTTGTTACTCTCGTAACCATCATTATTACTTAATTTTTTACAATCTGACAACCAATCACTACTAGCTAGTTACATGTCTTTTGAAGAGGCACTTCTTTTTGAAGTTTCAGTGCAATGATATTCATTTGCAGCAATATTACAACTTAATTTTCACTGAAGTGCTAAGAAGCAGTGTGTTTCCTTCAAAGTTATGAAAAAGGTTTGAATACATCTGGAAAAATTTTCAATTGAAATTTCACTGTAATTTGACTTTGACAGTGTGGGTGGACCATAGTGAATATCACACCCAGCCAACCAAATACATCCAGAAAACAGGAGCAGGAGAAGAGGGAAGAGGCAACAGACAGTGAATTATAGCATCTGGAGTCATGAAGTATCTGGCGTGACAGGCAATGAAAAAGAGGAACTAAGGCCAAGGGCACTGCAGTATAATTGTAATACTCATTTACAAGCATAAGACTGTCAGATAAAAGGTTAAGCCTAGAAGGACACATTTTGAGAGCAATATTAAATAAACCATAAGGAAAATGGTTCACTCTATATTAACCACTGTGGCAACCCCATTTGAATAATTGCAGAAATAGTGCAGATAGCGTTATCAATAAGTTCCTTTTCATATTTAAAACCAAGTGAATGAAGAGTCAAACAGATCCAAAGATAAAGACAGAATCTTAAAAAAATTACTTGTCAATTTTATGATTTAATTTAAATTTCAGTTTTAAAAGCAGTATATAAAATTCATCATAACTTGTATCAAATCATGCAAGTCACCTTCCTTCAGTTCATTTGCTAAGAACATTGCACTACTGGTTTGTCTGGGATTGGAAATTCTTGCAGAGAAGCAAGAAGCTGGAGACGGTTGGTGGTGACAACAGTTCCAGAAGGAGAATGAAGTAGCTAAGACTGCTTCTTCCACCTCAGCAGATAAAAGTTTGGTGAAAAGGTCTTGTTGAAGACCTGTAACACAAATAAAAATAGTATCAGTGAGGCAGAGTGAAGCGACATTCCTCAGGTGTCCACAATCGGTAACAGATGATAAGATAAAAAAAGAGCAGGAGAAAATAAGAAAAACAATCTTATACACAGGCTAGTTGGAAGAGCTTTGGAAACGGCTTCTACAACTTGTAAAAAAACAACAAGTTACTTATGTCAAAAAGTTTAACTAAGAAGGTTCGTTCCATTTTCTGTTAGTTTAAATTAAAGATATGGAAAGGTTTCCCTGAGCACTACAAGGCAGGCTCACGACTATACTCATTATTCTTGCAGTGACAGAAGTGAATTGATACGTAACACAAAGGAAAAGCTAAGCCACGCAACTAACAAGATTTCCCCACATAATTTGGAATTGTCATACCACTCATATTGAACTGAAAGAGATGGCCAATATGCTCAAAATGGCTTAAAAGTAATGGCTGAGAATTGTTTTAGAGAAAATGAGTACCTATGTTTAAAACGTTAAACTAAAAAATTAAATTTAAAATAAAGTTGATTATTCTGATCAACCTTACCAAAGAATCGAGACCACAGCAGGCCTGGGAAGGTGGTTTCAAGACTTGCAGTCCCAATTAGCCACTGAAGCACAACACCAGGTGAGACAGGACCTCTTGAGTAGACTTCTCAGCTCCAAAATTGCCCTCATCGTCGACCTGGAAAACAGAAGACCACAGTAACATCAGGGCAAAAAAAGCAACAACACTGAGATCAGATATGAATTTGAGTTAGAACATATGCACCAGCTTGCTCTCAAAAGTGAAACAGCAATGGCAAAAAGTGACATTTGAGGAAATTGGCAGTATGGTTCGATTGATTGAAAGGGTACGAATTCTTCTCACTCACCTTCAATCTATCTTCTTCAAGAAGAAAAAAATGGAAGGACGGTGCTTGGCAATTCTTGCAGAAGAGCAAGAAGAAGCTGGAGACGGTTGGTAGAGACAGCTGTTGCAGAGGAAGAATGAAGTAGCGAAGGCTGCTTCTTCCATCTCAGTAGGTGACAGTTGTGCTAGAGTGTCTTCTTGGAGACCTATAACACATATAAAGATTATGTCATTAAGGCACAGAGAAGCCACACTCCTCTGGTGGGACGCTGATAAGAATATTATTGAATATTGAGAGACTTAAAGTTAAGAGGGAGGCAAACAGGGCTCTCTTGTGAGGCAGCTTTGCTTCTAAAGTGATGATAAGTGAAACAAAACTTTCAACTGTCAGTTGTAAAATGCAGTAAGAACCCAAAATGCAACACACTGGGAATAATGACTTTAGTATTCTTATCCGAGGTGCTTCATTACAATCACCGTTTTCAGTGGCACAATAACAGCCCATGTTGCCATGCAGTAACATGAAAAAACTGTAAAGCAAGGAAATGCCATAAATTAGGTATTTAAAGTCTTAAACTTGAATGGAAAAAGACAAAAGAGGACACATCTTGCATCCATAGTCAAGGGAAAAATGAGAAAGTTTATAAGATTTTACCAACAGAGAGCGCAAAAAAAAACATGTTGCACAGAAAACAAAGAAGTATTTTAAAGTTTATAGTTCACTGAAATGCAGGTGACGGCCAGTAAAGTGTCAGGTTTCAAGTGTCACTTCTGTCTGCAAAGCCTGCCAAACAATTAAGTTGTCAGAAGAGGATCGTAAAAGGCAGCCAAGAGTAACTCGTACTCAATGCTTGGTGAAAGACTGCAATAAATAGAGACAAGACATTCTAACAGAGGATCAACAGCTGTGATATGATGGTGACCGTTCTTCACTTGGGAGGTTGAGTTTCTTTTTTGGCTGCCATACAATTTAAGCAGAAAATCAACTCTACTGTTTGGGCCAATTAATGAAATATAAGAGTAACAGGTAAAAGAATAACATGTACAGACAGGATAAGTTAAAAGGAGTTTTTCACTCCGGGTACTCCGCTTGCAGCGGCCGGCCTCCGAAGGTGTGCTTGCAGGCCCGCCGCGGTCACGGCTCGCCTCGTCGCCAAGTAGTGCACCGTCGTGCCTAGCAGCCAGACGGCGCGGCCCCCGCCGGGAGCGTCAGCATGGTGATGGTCGCCTCGGTGACGGTCAGGCCGGTGACCTTGTGGATCAGCGCCGCCCGCCGGTCCGCGCCGCCCGCCGGTCCGCGCCACACCGCGCCAGGCGATGCTCCACGTCCTCGGGGTCGGCGCACTTGGGACAGTCCGGTGTGGCGCTCTGGTTTCGGGCGTTGAGGCGCACTGCAGTGGGGAGGACGTCGCGCGCGGCCTCGAACTAGGCCGACCGCACGTCCACGTGGTACGACTTGTGGTGCACGCAGCGCCACACCTGGCGCTGCACGTCGTCCGGCGAGGGCGGCGATAAAGCGCTCCTTGCCGACCAGGCCCGGGACGGCGTCGAAGGCGGGGCTCATGCAGGACTCGAAGAAGTGCTTCACGCTAGTCGGCACCGACGGCGAGTCCGCGTAGGGCTGCTGCAGGAAGCGCAGAGGGCAGCCAGCAGCCGGAGACCGTCTCCAAGTCCGCCCGCGCCGAGCGCTCCCAGCGCGCCGCGAGCATGGCGCGGGCCTTCCTGGCAGGGTCTGGACTGGAGTCCAAGGCCGCCGCGCTCCTTGGGCTGCACCAGCACGTCGTAGGGGACGGGCTTGGTGGCCCAGAAAGAACCTCCCCAGGAACTTCCGCACCGTGTTTCGCACCGCGCGACCGTGGCGAGATGCCACAGCAGGGGCAGAACGTAGGTATTGCAGTACTGCACCCGCTTCACCAGGTTGAAGGCCAGCAGCGTGGCGTCCGCGAGCCGGGCGGGGAGCACGCCCACGCGGCCCGGCCAGCTGGCGGTCGCCAGCCCACTCGTCCTGGCGGTGAAGTGGACCCCCAACTTCTTGAGCTCCTTGGTGACGGGGTACGGGTGCTGCATCCGGCGCGGCCAGCGTCCGACGGCCAGGACCATGGACTTGGTCTCGTTTACGTGCAGCCCTGACTCCGCGTCGAACTCCTCCAAGGTCCACACGAGCACGGCCACCTCCCCGCCGTCTGCAGCAGCACCACTGTGTCGTCCACCTACGCAGACCCAGCCAGCCTGCCGTCCGTGCCGTCGACGCGGACACCGGCGAGCCCGGTGTCCAAGGCCTTGAGCAGTGGCGAGCTGGCGATGCAGTTCAGCATGGACACTGGACGGCCCTGCTTGATGCCCTGCAGCAGGTTTGTCGCCCTGGTACATGCTCTGCAGCAGCTGCACGATGTCCTCGCTGACGCCGTGCCAGCGAAGAACAGCCCACAAGAAGGAGTGCTTCAGGTTGTTGAAAGCCCCGGCGATGCCGAGGGCCACGACGCACATGCCCTTCTTGTTGAGCTCCGTCATGATGATGGCGTCCCGGACGTCCCCGAGCGCGGCCTGCGTGGTCCTCGGGCACCCGGGCTGCATTTGCATAGGGTGCAGGATGCGCCTCTGCACGGCCTCGCCTCCAGACGGCGGGTCAGCGCTCTGGAGAACACCTTCCCGTCGACGTTGAGCAGCGTCACTGGCCTTAGGTCCTTCACTGTCCGTGGGCGGCACGTCGTCTTGAGGATCAAGACCATAACGCCCTTCTTTTGGGCGAGGGCGACGGACCAGAGAAGCAGTATGGCGTTGGCAACGGCCAGGAAGTTCTCGCCGACGATGTGCCACGCAGCCTAGTAGAGCTCCAACGTCAAGCCGTCCTCGACTGAAGACTTGCCGCGCCGACTGTCCTTGAAGGCGGCATCGATGTCCTCCATCGTGAACGGCTGCAGCACGGCCTCGTTGTCCTCGGGGGTGAGCACGGCGTCCAGCAGCGACGTCCTCGGGGCAGCGTCTGGGGCAAGCGGAACGCCGTGAACGTACGCGCTTCTGGTTGCATCCTCCTCCGCGGCGCTTGGGGACGCGAACCCGGCGGCGCTGTGCTGGCGGACGTGCTCGGCGATGGCAGCGTTGTCCTGGAGGACGTTGCCGTCGGCGTCCTCGAGCTGCTGGATGACTCTGTCCCTCCGGCGAGGCCTCTAGCTGGCGTCGACGTGGTGCAGTCCGACCGTCTCGCCGCAGTCCACCTCGTCGGGCCACTTGGCGCGCGCCCTGGTGCACTCCAGCCGCCACGACAGCAGCAGCAGCAGCAGGCGCCCCCTCACGGCGTCCAGCTCCTGGCGAAGCTCGTCCTGGGTGCCGGCCTGGCCGTATACCTGCGCGGTGCGCTCGTTGATGCAGTTGGACAGGAACTGGCACATGACGCTGTCCTCGCGTCTGGTGCGCCTGGAGAACACCTTGCATAAAGCTCGCAGCTTCTTCTTGGTGGCCTCCCACCAGTACACGACGTCAGCGTCCCCGCGCAGCTCTCGCCACTGCTGCCACCGCTCGCCGAGTGCAGGCAAGAGCGTCTCGTCGGTAAACGTGGCGGGGTCGAACTTCCAGAGTCCCTGGCGGCGGCGCGGCTGTTGGCGCGTCGCGGTGTTCAGGGCGATGTTCACTCTTCGGTGGTCCCCGAAGGCAGCGTTGTGCACTTGCGCCCCTCGGAGCAGTGGCGTCAGGTCCCTGCTGACGTACAGTCTGTCCAGGCGCGACAGACAGCTAGGCCGTCGGTACGTGTGTCCTACCTCGTTCAGATGCAGTGCAGCCTCACCCACACGTCGTCAAGCTGCATGTCCTGGATGACGTAGGCCAGGATGCGGTAGGGCTCCGCGGAGCCGGAGGTGTCCTGCGGCCTGGCGATGCAGTTCCAGTCCCCTCCAAGCACGATCGGCCACGCTGCGTCTGCCAGAAGAATCGCTAGCTGGTGAATCAGGAAGTCCAGCCTCTCACCTCTGCCAGGGCCGTAGACGTTGACGATAGTCACTCCGGCGACGAGGGCGCTCAGGCCGCGCCCGCGTGGCAGGGCCTTGATGTTGTCGGCCTTGAGCGGTGGGGCGATGCCGCGGGCCTAGGTGCCGATGTTGACGACCTCCTCAAAGCCGGGCTCGTCGAGGACGGGCGCGCGCACTTCCTGCAGCAGCACAACGTCTCCACCACCTCCTCGATCAGCTGCACCATCGCCTGCACTTTCACCGCCGTCGTCGCTATCGACATGTTAAAGGACATTAATTTCATTTTGAGAGAGTCTTGGGGTGTGAATCTTCTTGTTCTTGCCGGACATGACCACCCTGGAAGCGGCGCGCACGAGGCTCGCCTCAGAGACGTGCGGGTTGTCAACAAGCATCCTGAACTGCTGCAAAGGGCCGTTACCTGACCTTGTGTTGCTCCTGTGGCTCTTACCCGGTCTTTCTGCATCGTCCCCGCCCTCGTCCTTCTCCTGCCTGGCTGTACATCCAGAGCGCGAGCGAAGTCCACTGAACGCGTTGCTGACTGAGAATTCCTTGAGCAGCCTGTCAAGCTCCGTCTGGCTGTCTACCCCGACGGGGCGTAGCGTGCGCGGCTCTGTAAAACCGCATGTTCCATCATTAGACTTGCCGCTGGCGGATGCCTGGGACTGTACCTCTGGCTGGGGCTCGCCGACACCCAGCGTGTCTGCGCCCGCTGTCGACTGCTCGACTGAGCAGTGAAAGCCACAGAGAAAACCATTGATGCCAAAAAGCTTAATTTTTTGACATGGGAATGATCATGGTACATACTGCTTTTAAAGAAAATGACTTCATGGGCACTTGGACAAAAAACAAAAAAGGTGCTTGGTGTCTTTCAGCGAAGTACGAAACATGACAGTTGCACACACTGTTAAAAAAGGTGCTGTAAATTAACAGCACTTGTGCTATTAAGTTTGATATCAACACGACTTGTTTTATTACAAGCATGTTGTTGCTCTCAAAAATGTTGGCTCAGAGTTGCGTTTGAGATAATAAACACTCTGAGTTAATGATGGTTTAAACTTTAAAACTTAATACTACGTATTGGGAAATTAACAGACTACAATTCAATAGAATTCTAGTTTGCCAATAAGAGAAAAGTAGGGTGGCAGGGAGAACCTTGTCAACCAATGAGTAAACAACTACACTTCAAGTATTAAGAAGCAGTGAGCTCCACACAAAGTTTACAAAAACGATTAACAAAGCAAAAAACAGTTATGATTCCAACCAAAATTTTAAATGGATCTCTGACGCATGAGAATGAATGTGCCTGAGTTGAGTTGATGATAGGATATCTCACCTTGCTCCTGAAATGAATCCAGACAAATGCAGATGATCCAAAGTGTTGCCATGGATTGAAGAGGAAGAAAGTAGCTCGAATGACATCTGGATGTCACACGGTAGTTGGTCAGGCAGCCAAGGGTGAAACGTCCGAACTGTGAAGAGAAGCTGTGTCCTCAATCGGTAACAGATGATAAGATAAAAAAAGAGCAGGAGAAAATAAGAAAAACAATCTTAGACACAGGCTAGTTGGAAGAGCTTTGGAAACGGATTCTTCAACTTATTAAAAAACAACAAGTTACGTATGTCAAAAAGTTTACCTTAGAAGCTTTGTTCTACTTTCCCTTATTTTAAATTAATGATGAGGAAAGGTTTCCCTGAGCCCTACAGAGCAGGCTCACGACTATACTCAATATTTTTGCAGTGACAGAAGTGAATTAATACGTAACACAAAGAAAAAACTAGGCCAAGCAACTAACAAGTTTTCCTCACATGATTTGGAATTGCCATACCACTCATATTGAACTGAAAGAGATGGCCAATATGCTCAAAATGGCTTTGAAGTAATGGCTGATAATAAGATTTGAGAGGATGAGTACCTATGTTTAAAACTTTAAACTACAAAATTAAATTTAAAATAAAATTGATTATTCTGATCAACCTTACCGAAGAATCGAAACCACAGCAGGCCTGGGAAGGTGGTTTCAAGACTTGCAGTCCCAATTAGCCACTGAAGCACAACACCAGGTGAGACAGGACCTCTTGAGTAGACTTCTCAGCTCCAAAATTGCCCTCATCGTCGACCTGGAAAACAGAAGACCACAGTAACATCAGGGCAAAAAAAAGCAACAACACTGAGATCAGATATGAATTTGAGTTAGAACGTGTGCATGAGCTTGCTCTCAAAAGTGAAACAGCCATGGCAAAAAGTGACATTTGAGGAAATTGGCAGTATGGTTTGATTGATTGAAAGGGTACGAATTCTTGTCACTCACCTTCAATCTATCTTCTTCAAGAAGAAAAAAATAGAAGGAAGGTGCTTGGCAATTCTTGCAGAAGGGCAAGAAGAAGCTGAAGACGGTTGGTAGAGACAGCTGTTGCAGAAGAAGAATGAAGTAGCGAAGGCTGCTTCTTCCATCTCAGCAGGTGAAAGTTGTGCTAGAGTTTCTTCTTGGAGACCTACAACACATATGAAGATTGTGTCATAAGGGCACAGATACGCCAAACTTAGGTGGGATGTTATTCTATCTGGAAAAATAATGCAGCAGCCAGAGGAAAGGATAATTTACTGCAGAATACAGCATACTAAAAGTGTAAAAAATGTGAGGGATAGTTCTTTGCATGCTGTTTATGTGATGGAAGCAGATGGTAAGAGTAAGATTTGACAAAATCAACACACTGGCACTGGCCACATAATCAAAGCAAGTACAAACAAGAGAAATAAACAGTTAATCTCGATATTCCTTACACATGAATTGTGTGTACAGCCGACCAAGTATGATGGTTTGAAGTCTCAACGTGCAATTGATGTGCAGAACCAGATAGGGCTGCCCCTTTGGAGTTGTCAAAGCAGAAAAGTGTGGCCTTGCTGTGGATCTGTCGCACGGATAAACAGAGTAGCGTCAGGGAACGGACAAGCAATACAACAGAGATGGGACATGGATTTACATTGTCGCTTTGATGCAGAGGCCAGAGAAAAGGTTAAGTCTGATTTCAGACAACCACAATTTAGATTTTATGAGTTGTAGAAAAGTAGGCAAGACTCCTGGAAATGCAATGAGCACATATATCTTGCGTACTTGACTTTGCCTGAAGACTCGAAGGAATCTCCCTAGTCACAAATATATGATCACCTGTCTTCTCTGGTTTGACGACTCCATGGTGATGATGACTCCGAAGTATCCAAGCAGTTGACAACAACAATTTTCTACCGGTCCCTGTCATTGCAGCAACGAGCACCCTCCAATAAAGTCAGCTGAAACATATAATTGATTAGAATGTTACGGTATTTCGAGGGACTTTAAGTTCGAAGAGAGGAAGACAAGACTCATTCAGGCAACTTGGCTTCCAAAGTAGTGACATGTGAAACAAAACTTTAACCGCCAATTGTAAAATACAAGAATAACCTAAAATACCGCACTGTGAAAACAATAACCAAAGTCATCTAATCCAAGCTGCTTCATAAAAAACACTGTTTTCAGTGGCACAATGACAGCCCATTCTGAAAACCTATACCATGAGCAAAATTATGTCTGACTACGTGCAAGAATATAGAATAGGAGGGGCAGGATTTATGTGTCATCTTCAAAACAAAAGCAGTCCGTGTTCAAGACATAGAGAAATATCTCTGAAGGAGAAATGTTGGGCCGAGAGGTTACCTTAGTGCAAGACTCTGAATGAGAACTCGGGATTCGCTCATCGTACCAAATAACTGAATTAAAAATGAACACCATGAGAATAACTAGAAGCTTTCCGATAGTTTGCATAGGACAAATGGAGTTTGCTGATACACTGATGAAAGAATACGAGGTAGATGCAGAAGGAGGTCGGAACTCGTTTCGTTTCAGAATGGCTACTTTACCCGCACAGAAAAGTCGTCCAGTTGTACTTTCATTCTTACTCTTGCTCTATGGTGCCATCCCGTTCAAAAATAAACCATTTCTTTTATTCTGCCGGTGAATTCCAAGCGAGCAAGATGTTTTGTGGGTCCAAGTTTTGAAAACACTCTTCTTGTGTTCTGCTTGCCCTGTAAATAACGTGTATGACAAATTCGAAGCTGAGGTGCGGGAGCGGTAGAAGCTGGGAAGCTGGAGACGGAAGGTAGAGACGCTTCGTGCGGAACGGCAAGAAAATTATTCGCACACTGAACCCGAGTGCCAATAACGGAAGTGTTTGTTTAATTTACATTATCATGATGTTCCTCTTTGCATGCTCTTTGGAAGGAGCTGAAGTTTACCTTTCACAGTTCGCTCATGACGTTTCGCTAAAGGAGAAATTGACCACTAGTGCAGTGTAGTTAGAACGATAAATATGTGCAGAAATTTATTACGTTATGTCAGATGGCCGTATCTGACGGTTTACAATTGGAGGTTAAGTACGTGCACTGTTAAAGAAATTTGGCAAATCTAAGTAAACAAAACGTGACAGTGTTTGTCAATGAAGAAATCTATGAGTGACTTGAGGAAAAGACGTCTTAGTGACAATGTTGCATTCCTTGTCCACTGCCATCTTCGTGCAAGGAAACCAACTAGTGGATTTCAGAAGAGCAGAAGTGATAGTGCAATTGAACAATCAAGAATTCAATCCAGAAATGAACCACAAATGAGCAAAATTTCATTGCCCTCCGTCTGTGAACCAGCCCCATCTGTACTGGTGAAGTGTGAGTACAAAGTCTTTGGTGCTGCTTAATGTGATTCAGTGCCTTTGTCTGCATTGCAATTGTTATTTAGGATTCACTGTATTTGTGCTCATTTTGAGCTGTACTCTCTGGTTTGAGAAAATTGTTGGGGGGCAAGTTGAACATTATAGTGGCACTATAATTCAGGGGGTTCATCAGCTTCATGGGAATTACCTTATTTAAAATTATTTTGCTTTGGTCCAGAATCAAGGCAATTGTGGTCTTCAATTAGAAGCACCATTATTCATATCAGAACGAAAATTATGGCAGTGTGAGAACTCTTTCTAACTGAAATGAGAGGCAAAATGCCATACGGTACTGAGGGATATGCTTTTGAAAGAGGAAATAAGTTAATTAGTATAATCTGTACTATTATTATGCCATAAGAAAGATGCTAGTGCCACGGTGCAACTCTCATTTTACCGTGTTTAATTCAAAACCTCTAACTTGACGTAACTTTATAGTCTTAATGTTCTATTACATTTTCTTTGAACTTGGTTAAACCCTCTCGGACTCCAATGATGCTACAATAACAAGTCCAGTGTCACGGTGCCTTTAATCTGATCAATTCAAATACATCTTGTGTCGAAGGGGTTGGTTTAAAATTAGGCTTCGTGAAACAGTTTCTTTAAAACAAATAACCCTATCCCAGCTTTTTACTGAAGTGTAATCAGGACCGTAAAGTATATATGACTATGAGTTAACAGCTGTTCTGATCCGGGCTAGGGCTTAACCGGGTGATTTGTGTGACTCAACGCTGGGCACAGATAATAATATCTACATGCTTTACATTTAATATGCAAAAATTGTTGCGATATGATAGAAATTGAAGGGGACATTGTAGGAACAATGCAAGTGCGTGCAATGCCGAGCAATGCCTTAGCCCCAGAGGCGAACCACTCTTCTTCAAGGCAGTTCGTAGAGTGCAATTGGCCTACCTACTGAACCATATGATCTCCACTTCTTGGTGCATGCCTCTTCTTTTCAGAAAGTCGAAAAATAAAATAAAATTGAAATGCTGTTATTAGAACAACCACGCAGTGCAAATGCGATACTACATCTCTAACATTTGCATAGTTGGCTGTTCCAGTACCAGCATTTCAATTTGTTTTTACGTGCTGTCAAAGAGTGTACATAGTATGCTCTAACTGGAGCATGTCTGCAAGCACGCTCTAGATAGCGCATGCCTGCCAAGCATGCACTAACTAGTGCATACATGCCATGTACACGCTTCCTGATGCAGAAAACTCCCAATCCCTTATGCAGTAAATGTATGCTTCAGTTAGCGTGTACATGGCGTGTATGCACTAGTTAGTGCATGCTTGGCAGGCATGCGCCAGCTAGAGCGTGCTTGCAGGCATGCTCCAGTTACAGCGTACCATGTACACTCTTTGATTTGTAGAGTACAACAGTCCCACACGTCGGGGGTTCCACTCCTAAACATTTAATTTCACTGCTTCACCCTGTGCGGTTGGGGGGAGGGGGGAGGGGATGTGCTAGGCACGCCTTCGGCGCGCGCGCTAAGCGCATGCTGTAGGGGGCAGGATTTGAGTGTGACTGCGTGCGTGTGTGTGGGTCGCTCCATCAGGTGCAGGGTGCTTTCTATCGCTTGGCTTACTCATCTCACTGTATGGCTGCCTTTTTCCTTCCTGCTTCCGCACGTTCCCTTCCCCATGCCGTCGCGTCCGGGCCGTGTGCACACGTTCCCCCCGGGGGCTGCCATCGCTTTCTTGTGGAAGATGATGCCAGCCGCTAAAGGACGGACACGCTGCTCGGTCAGAGTCTGGTGGGTGACACAACCATGGGACTGCTGTCGAGCGGTGTTAGTTAAGTCGGTTGTATTATGACCACTGCCTGGGCTTGATATGTCTGCTTTTCTGCCTTTACATGCACGGCGACTGCGCATGGAGCCGCGCATCCTCAACGTGTGGAGAGGGTCGCCGTCACGCTTGCTTTACGGACGCTTCATTCTGTGCTGTCCGTGCTTTGCCTGCCTCGTCCGCTCCACTCCTTAGCGAGCGGCCAACGCGACCCCATCGGCCGCTCCCCCGGTCGACAAGGCAGGGTGGCAAGTTCAAACCCCAGACCGCTGGGGTCGGTGGGTTGGGGGGCGTCTACAGTGCGTCCGGGCGTGCCCTCGGCGTTCCCCGGAGACATTGATATGGCCGTTGGTTCGCGAGCGATAGCCCCCGGCACTCGGCGACGCGGTGCGGGGACGGCCTACCGGGGAGCCCCATCGGCGCCTCTGGTGGGACGCCCCCGCGCGGTGCGGCGAGGGTGGTGTTCCTTCGGGTGTACATGGGTCGCGCGCTGGCGGGCAGAGCTGTGTAGCCTGGGTGACGTAGTTGGTACGCCCCCCCTAACCGGTCGGCCCCATCCCTCTGGAGCGACGAATGCGGCCCGGGCGCAGGCCGCGGAGACCCCGGCCGCCAGAGGCATGAGACGGGCGAACCACGCGTCCGTTTCGGCGACTACGGTTCGTCAGTACCCGGAACGATCGGTCTCTTCCGGTGCAATCTTCCGTGATGGGCCGGACGAAACGCACAACGGACGCCTGAAGGGCAGTCGAAGCGACTTCGGCCCTTTACCGCTTCCCTCGTGGACGCGGGTGTTTGAGCCCCTTTTCCCCTTCCCTGGCTGCAGTGTCTTCTCCCGGCCCGGCGAGCGGCCGCTGCCCGTCTCGACTCCCTTGATTGGCGAACTCGTCCGCTGTCCGTTGCGCACTCGATCGTCGCCCAGTTCTATATCTCCCTTAAACGGACGCGCGGGCCCGCTCGTTTTGTGCCTCTGGAAGGAGCTGTCGCTACTGCGGATACCTCCCTGGCTTCCGTACCGAAGACAACTACTACTGGGCAACGGGTGCCGACGACGAGTCCACGGCGGAGGCTGCGGGCAGACACAAGCGCTTGCACCGACCACTCTGCCTGCTGCATGATGCTTGTAGCTATGTCAAATTCTAGTGCCATTATAGAGCTTTGCTTATTTCACAGATGGGGCGGCCTGGACGACGCGGTTGCAATCAAATTTCACGCAAATGCCACTCCCGTCCTTAGGGCTTAACTATCCTTACCTGGCCCTTGTCCTGACCGCTTGCGGGAGGGAGCTGGTTGGACGCTGCGGATGCACGTGGATCGGTGGCCATTCCTCTCCCCTCCCCCCCTGCTAACCGTTTTATTGCAGGAAAGGACTGTCCGGAGTTGCCTGTCCCAGCAGGCGGCCGTAGTGCCACTTTATTTTTCTTTTTTTAATCTGGTTCGGCCCGGATGGCCAGTACTCCAACCCCTTGGCGCCACAGGGCGTGGGACTGGGGCGACAGTACCTATGAGTATGAGTATGAGTACTGCTTCACCCTGTGCGGTTCAAACCCGTGACTTCAGCCAACATTCAGCATGTGCCTTGGTGGTCTACGGAGTAGAAGTGTTGCTTCCCCGTGCTGGGGTCGGCGGTTCGACTCGCAAAGCTTCTTTCGAAATTTTGACCGGGTCGGTCCATTCCTGTCGCGTTAAGAACCCATCTCACTCCGCTGCCGCTCCGGGCCACTCACCTCCGTCGTGGCCGAGAGCCACA